CTTGACGATTTGAAACGCTACATCCTAAACTCAATTCCTACCATGGGTAGGGGCCTACTCTCCATTGACTCACCCAAAAAACAGAAACTATTTTAGAGAATAAAAGACCCCGTTTTGGCTCATGCATATTTTTTCAACTTCATGGTGTATATATAAGATATTTTTACCATTTTATCTTAAATTAGTAAAACACCTTTTTAATCTTTTTTTGGTCTCTCCATCTAACTAAATAAATAATCTATGGCTCTCTTTATAATCTTTAGTCTATATTCCATACCCACGGAAATCTATAACCATCTCTCTTCTCTATTCTCTCTTGATCACCAAATCTCTCTCTCTCTCTCTTCCCCCTGCTTGCCCTCACTCTCCATCTTAATAAATTGCTTATTGCTCACGACTTCTTATCTTCTCTCTCTCTCTCGTGTCATAAAACCAGAAGGTATTCTTGAAGTAAAGTGTTGGATGGAGATTTTAGAGAGACTGGTTCGACCTCTATTCTTGGATGGATTCATGGACCCCTAATGAGAGCACATGGTTTAGGGTGGTGAAAGATAGGGAATCATAGAGTACTAGGATCTGATTTTTGGGGTTTTGAGAGAGTTTTGGTGGGAAATGTGGTGCCGGCAGCCAGCTAGAGAGGCATTCGTGGCCTCTAAGGATGACGTAATAATGCATCAATATACGCATTTCGCTAAGCACGCATGCATTGACAATGTGATTGCCCCAAGCCGGGTTTTTGCTGCTGAGACTTCATTGTTAGGCAAGGAGAATGGTGGTCATGTTAAGACTTTGAGTTCTTTAGGTAGAAACACCAATGGGGATGAAGAGAGAAACATAGGGGAGAGAGAAGATCAGCCCAAGTCAAAATGTGAAGAGAGAGAGAGATGGAGGGGCATTATCGTGAGCCAATCTGAAGGACAAGGAAAGATGATTCAAATCCGTTTGCTGGTTTTATGTTCTCATTACATGATTAAAAATGGGGGATTATGAATGCTTTGATCTTTCGAGACTGGTTCTGGTTGTTTCAGCCTAGAGGAATTTTGCGCTGGGTAGCACTCTTGTACTTTGGAGTTTTAAACTATCATAACAGGGGAAATCAGTGTATGCTGATCATTCTTTTGTTCAACTTTGGAGGCTGATGATGGCACTGTATATCTATGGAGCATTCTGTATTATTTATAAAATGGATAGAGATAATGGAACCTACAATATAGAGCTATGCCAAGTGATTTTTGTTATATTCTTTGTTGTACAAGTCAATAGGAAAGAAGGCTTCAATATTCAAGTTTCAAGATGCAAATCTTGATAGGCAGCTCTTAGTAGGATTAGCTTTCATATTTAACTAAATGGATCAAGGGTGATTAATCTATGGAGGGATTATTGGGGGCTCCCCCAAGTCTATGGCTCTATGCACACAAGGTTGCTATGTGAGAGAGGAAAGAGAAGGACTGTTATGTGAGAGATGAAATAGAGGAAGCAAAAGGTGAAAACACACAGTGAGACAACAAATCCAATTGGTTTTCACCGAGGATAGATATGGGGAGAAAAATATTCAAATAATCTTTAAACTCCTTTGAGACCGAGATTCCGTCATATTCCGAGCGCGGCCCATCTTTTGAAGAGTCATGATCCCCCATTGATAGGGATCAAGATCCTTTGCAGTCAAGGATCGAGATCCCTTTAGATTAAGAACCGATATCCCAATAGGTAGGGACCGAGATCTCCTTATAGGAGCAAGCGAGTACCGCTTAGGCTCTGGTTCCCGGATCATCGAATCGAGATTCCAAGAGGGGAATGCCACCTCTTGACCAAGATTCTCGCAACTAAGAGATGAAGATAGGAAAGGTTTAAGACCAGACAATATCCCGATAGAAGTTGGAAATCCATGGCGGAGATTGGCATATGTTGGCATACCAAGTTGTTTAACAAGATGTTGAGAACAAAGAAAATGTCAGACAAATAGAGACAGTAATGTCGTACCTATTTTCAAGAACAAATGAGACATACAGAATAATATGAACTATCGAGGGCTTAAACTAATGACCACACTATAAAGCTGTGAGAGAGAGTGGTTGAGCAACGACTAACGCATGGGATGTGTGCATCAAAAGACCAGTCCGGTTTTATTATGGGGAGGTCAATTATCAAAGTCATTTTCCTACTTAGGCAACTGATTGAGAAGTTTAAGGCGAAGGAAAAAGTCCTTCACATGGTCTTTATTGAATTAGATAAAGCATTTCAAGGAGTGCAAGTCTAATAATAATAGCAGTAGAGATGAGGAAGTAGTTAAGATTGACGGTCAGGAAGTACAAAAAAGACCGCACTTTCGATATCTTGGGTCGATAATACAAAAAAATATAAAGATCGAGGAAGACATCGCACACAGAATTAGAGCTGGGTGGGCTACGTAGAGAAGTGCAATTGGAATTTTATACGGTCGCCGCATACCAATGAGGCTAAAGGGCAAGTTTTATTGGACAACGGTGAGACTAGCTTTGCTCTATGGGGTGGAAAATTAGGCGAATAAAAACAATATACCCACAGAATGAGTGTAGCGGAAATGAAAATATTAAGGTAGATGAGTGGCAAGACAAGAAGGGATAGAATTCAAAATGAATCTATTCGAAAAAATTTAGGTGTGGCACCAATAGGCGATAAAATGAGAAAAAGTAGACCTAGGTGGGCTGGCCATGTGTGACACCGATCAAGTACAGTACTTGTTAGGAGGTGCGAATTAGTTCAAGTAGAAAGACTGAAAAGGGCAAGGGGTAAGCCCAAAAGGACATGGTTGGGAATAGTCCGAAAAGATATGGAGATTTATGGCCTCACTGAGGATAGGGCCTTTAATAGAGTAGGATGGAGAACCAAGATTCATGTAGCCGACCTCAATTAATTGGAAAAAGATTAAAATGATGATGATATATACGACAAGGTGCCTAGAAATTTAATTTGGCGGGTGTTGGAAATAAAATGAGTCACAAGCAAATATTGACATAGTGAGAGACATGTACAAGGGAACGCTAACTAATGTATGGACAACTAGTGGGGAGACAAATTGAGTTCGCAATGACAATGGGCCTATTTCAAGGGTCAACTCTGAGGTCATATCTCTTTGTTTTGGTTATGTATGAGGTAACCAGGCACCTACAAGATGAGATACTATTGTGTATGTTGTTTATAGATGACAACATAGTTTGATCGATGAGACAAGAGGCAGTGTCAACGCAAAGTTAGAATGTTAGAGGGATGCTCTAGAATCGAAAGGTTTTAAAATTAGCCAGACAAAGATAGAATATATGGAATGCAAATTTAGTCATAATAGGAATAGAAACACAAAAGTAGTTCAGATTGATGGTCAATAAATACCAAAAAGAGATTGTTTCTGATATCTAAGTTCGATAATCCAAGAGAATGGAGAGATTGAGGAAGATGTCGCACATAGAATTAAAGTAGATACGCAAAGTGGAGATGTGCATCCAGAGTTTTATGTGATTGCCTGCATACCATTGAGACTAAAGGGAAAAATCTATAGGACGTCCGTAAGACCAACCATGTTTATGGGACGAAATGTTGGGCAGTCAAGAAACAACTTATCCATAAGATGAGCGTAGCTGAGATGAGGATGATGAGATGGATGAGTGGCAAGACAAGAAATGATAGAATTCATAATGAATACATATAAGGGAACTTAAGTGTGGCTTCAATAGGCGATAAAATGTGGGAAAGTAGACTTAAGTGGGATGGCTATGTGCAACGTAGACCTAATACAGTACTAGTTAAGAGATGCGATTTGGTTCAAGTGGAAGGCTCTAACAGGGCAAGGGTAAGGCCCACAAGGAAATGGATAGAAGTAGTGAGAAAGGATATAGTGAATTTTGGTCATATTGAGGGTATGACCCTCGATAAAGAAGAATGGTGGAACAAGATTCATGTAGCCGACCCTATGCCCCCGCATAATCGCGACTTTTTGGGTTGTATTGTACAAACGTTACTCACTGGTCCATCTCCTCTTTTGCTCTGGACCACTGTGGTTGCATTGTATTTTGATTTTCTTGTGTACATTGCTTGTAACCGGGCGAGTCTATAAGCCCCAAGTTTTTGTATAGGTTCACTGTGTAGTGATCTATTTTTTGTCCGAGAGAACCTGCCTGTGGGTGCTCTCGGGTCCCCCTCTTGTTTTCTGATACTTTTTCAGTAACACAATCGTTAACTTCACTAAAAAAAAGATTCATGTAGCCGACTCCAAATTTGGAATAAGGCTTGGATGATGCTGATGATAACAAAGTACATAAATACCCTTGTGCAATGATACAATAGGCTAATATACATCTTAGCAGTAACAATAGCATGCCTAGCAAGTCCATATTTACGAGTGGAAAGCCACATAGCAAATGACAGAACGGCGCAAAAATCCATAAATGACACAAAATAATATAGTATTTGTTACTATTGAGTCACACAGCTCAATTACTTTCACGCAAGATGCAGTCAACACCAAACAGTTAAACTATCAATCTACAGTCATAGTTAAGCCTAAAAGTCCCCTTGGGAGGTAACCACAACAGAAATTACAATAGAGTACAGAGTACCATAAAGTGCATAACAAACAACCATGCTCCAATCACATGGATAAAATTATCAGAAGTGAATTCAATGCCAATGTTTCTTGCTAAATGATTTGAATCATGTAAAGTCAATTGGAAACTTTTAGCAAACGATTAAAAAAAATTCTATTGAAAAAGGAGCTGGGAAAGGATACCAGAATAGAATGTAATTTTTAACTTGACAACTCATGTGGTTGTTGCACATTTTATAAGGAAGCAATTCAGTATGATAAAAATAGACGATTTGGAGATGCACAAAAGCCAGAAGCACGAGAAAAGCATGAATCATAGGCCCATAAAAGTAGGAAAAGCATGCCACAAAAACACAATAATGAAACAAATTGTAAACATGAGTCTTTATCAAAATAGTTCCTCATAATCAAAGAAATGAAATACCTTAAGAGCATTAAGTGACTTTAGAAGGACTGAATCAAGTATGTCTGGATGCAACTCCAAGTACTCTGTGAGATGTTCTTGAACAGATTGATCAACTACCCTCCGTACTTCAGGATTTCCTAACCTAGTCTTCAGAAAGAAATAAGAAAATTGCAAGGATAAGCATTAAAAATACACATCACATGACCAGCAAGATGTATCATATGGAGAGCAATAATTTAGGATATGTTTGACAACCCCACAATATCATGATATTTCATGATATTGTGGGATCTGAATAAACAATGATACTAAAAGGCTCGTAGCCCTGTTTGATAGACGAAAACCCTCTCCTTTGTAATCCTGATAAAGCCAAGTAATCTAAATCCTGCGAAATTCAAGTGGGACAATAAATTTGGAGAATTCAGAAAAGTAGTATCTTGTGGCATATGATTTTAGTCGCCAATGAAACTTAACGGGAGTTTAGTATTAGGTCCACGCCCTAACCACCAACTACGTCCACTCTCTCTCTCTCTCTCTCTCTCTCTCTCTCTCTCTCTCTCTCCGCATGAATAACCATGCCTCCTCTCTCTATGCACCCACTCTATCTCTCTCTGTTCCATAATGTTCCATTGAAGAAGGGAAGCAGGTAACTGGTTGCAGAGATGAGACTTTCCCTCAAGTGGAATTTGCTATAGGACATGAATTTGATTGTAGCTTTAAGGTTTTTCCTGGATTTGAATGCCATGAATGGGCAGTTAGAGTACTTCATTAGGGTACTGTCATTGACCTCTACATTGCATGTGCTTTGATCTTCAATAGTGTGTGTGCCTGTGGGCGCAAATGGGCGCATGTGAGAAAGAGAGAGATGTAGAAGCTGGGTACAAAACAAATGTGTGCCAAAGAAAAATAAATAAATGAATTTTAATTTAATTACCCAGACAGTATAACATATCAAATATATAAAATTTTTGAAATAGAGGTAGACAAACAGATACAAGAAAAAACTTATTAAGACAATATGTTATTCAGATATATGGAAAGCTAGCAAAGCCTTTATCCAAATCTATATTATTCAAGATCTTGTTTTTATCAAACAGATCCTTCAATAACGTGACAGAAAAATACCACACCTTAGTCTGTCCCTCAAACTCCGGGTTTGGAACTTTGACCGAGACAATGCATGTTAATCCCTCCCTTACATGTTCGCCACTCAAATTAATGTCCTCCTGCAATTCAACAGTTCAGAATTGGAATAACCCTGAATTTGTAAATATCACAAACAACAAAACTGTTTCTAAATGTATCCCTAGTCCATCCCAGATATACTGGAATGCATACCATACTGATTTCTTGACACCTGATACATCAATAGTTCCAACTATTTTTAGCAAAAGCAGAATGAGAAGATTACTCAGAGATGTCAATGTATATAAAATCTGGCAGAAAATTCCCATAGTTCTTTTTCTTGGCATAGAATTCCTAGCAGTTTAAGAGAAACAAGTAAATAAATTAGAAAAGTTAGGTTAATTACCAATGAGAAAGAACTCCACCAGCATGAGCCCAAATTAGATCACTTAGGAAACAACTCAATATACCACAAGAGATAAAGGAGAGGCCCCAATTTCAGTCATTGGAAAGATATGTCCTAGCAGAGTGGATTAGACCTCCAACCTTTGGATCTAAACATTACTTAATAAAAGAGAAATTGCAGCACTTTGGGAAAGGGAGGAACCCAGGTCTACATATCTAATGTAACAAACTTCATTTCAAGACCAGGCAAAGAGATGCTTTGATATATCTCAAACATTGCTTCATATGACCAAATTGATGCTTTTCACTAAATAAATACACAAACATTGTGTCAATGGCAATGCTCAAGGGGATTAAACAGAGGTATAAAGGGTCACATAGTGACAAGATCATCCATACATGTATAATAACAAAAAATGGATTTCTCTAAAGAATAAACATATAAAATTAATAGTGGTTCTTATTCGGTAGAAATTCGTCAGATCGACATGTTGAAATCCTAACACCCTTATCCTGAATCCACATTCACATACATAAAATTAATATACGGCCCATGTGATGAATGGATAAAACCAACTTATGGTTCAAGCAGGCAATCTCAGCAAGCTTTGGTGATGATATCCCTAAATATGCCGAAAAATGGAACTTGCACCCAGAGGCTTGTGCAGGTGTATACTTGATGAGTGCCTCCATTGAAGATGAAGTAACCACACATAGCACCCAGATTTGGTCACTACAAGTACAGATTTGAACAAGGCAAAAATCCAAGGAAGCAAAAGTTGTGAAGTGTAGGATCATCACTCTGATCACATGTTAATGTTAATAACGTCATGGAAAAAGCTTGAACCGCTGTTATCCACACAACAGCCGCGAAAATGAAGAAGTGACAACAGGTTGGGAAACACGGAATTTTCCAGCAGTTTTTCATCATGTTTTACACTCGCACAGGTTAAAACTCTATCGTAGGAGTCCTAATGGGCTGCATAAAGGGATAGTAAAGTGTACATAAAGGACACTTATGCCTTCACCTAGAGGAAAAAAGGCAAAAGCTACATTAATACAACAAACAACCATAAAATGATGAGAACAAGGTTCAAACACTGCTCTTGCTTACTAATTCTAAGAAGTCAGGAAATTTCCATTTGTTGTTGAGCACAAATTACAATCAACATGATGAGACAATTAGAAGGCCCAAAAGAAAATATTGACTGGATTCTCTAAGAAATGCATTACAAAAAAGTTTTCGAAGAAAGCATCATCCACAAAAACCATACAGTTGACTGGATTCTCTAAGAAATGCATTACAACAAAGTTTTCTAAGAAAGCATCATCCACAAAAACCATACAGTGGCAGCATCACTTAATTCATACAAATAAGTTGTAAGCTTCGGATCTAACAGGCCAGAGTCCCTCAGATCGCCTAGAACTAACACTTCAACATGTGTGGCCATAATAAGACCCATAGACCTCTTTGCAGTATCAAGACTTCAACTAACCAAATTCCAGAACTACAAGAACTAGGACTACACAGACCATTCATGCTGGTAACCACTGAACCAGCTACAAAGGTACATACATAATGGCAAAAGGAAAGAAAACACAAATATGTCAACCACCAATTCATATAAAACTAGAAACCATAAAACTGACATGCACCTTGATAACCTTTGACTTCTTCCCAAGGTTATTAAGGGTTCTTGTTAATGATGCCTTCAGGCCGTCTATATGAGTGCCACCATCAACTGTTCGAATACTATTTGCATAACCTAACAAGGTATCTGTATAAGCATCAGAGCACCTGAGTATCGCCAAGTGAGGGTCGAACGTCAGAAGAGGAGAATACAGGATTTGTACAAGATTACAACACTTATTCAGCTTAGGTATGAAAGAAGGTTGAAACAAAATATATTGTCAATTAAAAAAAAAAGAGAGAGGATATTAGGTCTAAAATGTATGTTGCTCACCATTGTAAAGCCACATCAACAGTAATTCCGTCAGCTTTCTTCTGGAGGAATACAGGATCGTGTATAGGTTTCTGTGACACAACTTGTAAATTATATGACATGTAAAACATAAAAATATAAAATATAAAATATAAAAAAATCAATATTAGATACATGATTAGATACATGAAGCCCTAAACCAATCAGCAGAATTTATCATATGAAACAGAATTACAAAATGAAGTTTAAAAATAAAAAAAAAGGAAAAAAATAGATGGCTGGTGAATAAATAATTCCGAGATAACACTTTCAGCCACATGAAAATGGAAGTCCTAAAATGCAAAAGCAAACTCACTCCTCATGCAATAATTCCCACTGCTATGTAACTTTAGGAGAGACACGAGATGGAGTCCACTTATATCCTTTTTTTTTTTTCATTTTTTAAATTATTATCCTTTTCATTTGGTTTGAAACTATAATGCCATGATAAATCAATTGGATATTCCTACTGCTTTTAATAAACTCTATACATAACATGCCTTTAAAATTCTTAGTATTTTAAATTACTAATATTTTTTGTTTTAAAAAAAATTAAAGCAAGTTTAAAAAATAAGAGATTAAAATTTTAGGAAATACATAAGATGGAAGTCCTACTGCCCTTACTCTTTAGTAAATGTGCTTAGAAATAGAGATTGAGAATAGAATTTGATGAGATAGATGACAAAGAGTTCTAAACAAATGGTGTTCCATCAGTTTTTATGCAAAGACATTAAAGCGGTTACGAGTATTGTCCTACATGGATGAAAGTGGTCATGTGTGTAGGCTCTATTTGGATGAAAGAGGCCATTAAAGTTGTTTGGAGTTGGATTCTATCTGGGACAAAGTAAGCACCATCCCTCTTGCATTGGCATGTGACTAGGCCTTGTCTAGATCAAGTTGACCCATACCCTTGCTTGATAGGCCTAGCCCCTACGACGAAAGTCCACATGTGCCATGTCAAAAGGGGTATTAGCCAAATGGTAGATGTTGGACCATGAGGACACCAGGATGCTCCTCAGTCAAGCCTGGCAAGAGGAAACCAAGAGGCCAAGAGATAAACAGGGCTCTTTCGGTGTACAATGAGGCTTCGGAGGACACATGCCAAAAGACCTCAAAACGGCATCCTAGAGCATGCACATGCCAGAGAGAGAACTCTCGTGTCTTCGTGATGTTGTGATCCTTGATATTTTTGGGTCTTGGTGATCCTAGAGCATGCACATGCCAGAGAGAGAACTCTCGTGTCTTCGTGATGTTGTGCCTTATCTTTGAGACTTGACAGGGCGGTAACCACAAACTTGTCCTTGGGCCTGGAATCTATGGCTATTTGTGTTCCTCTATACCTTGGCTAGCTTTGATAAGCCAAGCATGAGCCCCTCGCTGGAAGAAATGTGGATTGTGGGCCTTTTGGGTAAGTTTCAGGTTTAGACTGTGTTCAAAGGTAGTGATCGAGTACCTGGTTGAGGATCTGACTCCATTGGTAGAACACACTTCCCATGGTTTTTCATGTGGTTCTGGAATGATTAAGGAAAAATAAATATGGTGCTATTTTCTCTATTTAGCACCCATATTTTGTGGAAGTAAATTTGAATTTAAAATGATGATGTTTATGACTAAACAACTATGTTTAAAACAAGCGTATTCATGGAATTAAATGTTATTTGTATTAGAAGTCAATTTTGGAGGTTATGGGACTTGGACACAATTTCTATTTAATTTGAGCCATATGATTTTTACCATTTTATCACATGGACTGCACTGGCCATGGGGACCACATGGCTGTAAAAAGGTCAAAGGCCTTGTGCTTGATCACCCTATTTATTCTAAAAAGGTGCATACCCTCCAAGATTGAGTTCTAATGGGAATGGGTTCAAAAACTACTAGGTAACTAATTTGATCTAAGTAGATTTGATTCTTTAGAGCATTGAAAACTCAAAGGGTGGTTAGGATTGACTCTTGAAAAGAAATTCTAATTCAAATTGGAGTTTGCCATGAGAAAATAATTTGGAACAGAACATTCTACAGAAGGGTTCCAATGGACTCCATTTTAGATTGGAAGAGTAGTTGGGATGGAATTCCTCCCAAGGATAATTCTGGAATATCCACCCCTAATCAATGATGGCTAGCTAAAGGCATGGATGGTGGAGATCAGACTTCATCATCATCCAAGCCTCGTCCCAATGATTTGGAGGTAGCTATCATGATAAGATGTGGCATAATTTTACGTTGGTTGCCTACCAAACACCATCCACCTCCTTCACCTAAGCCTCGGACGAGTTAAAGGGTAAGTTTGAGGTCCTCACCCTTATTAGACCACTAAAATCAAACTTCTCACTCGATATATCTCCCATTAGAACTTGAAGGCTATTACACTTTTATATCCACTCTAGCGCTAGAATACTTTTTTATCATTAAAAATAATTTTTTATCATAAAATTAAACTACAGAGGAAATAAAAAACATCAAACAAAGTCAAAAAATGCCAAGCCAACATCTCAAGATTACGGCATAGAACTTGTGTCACGAGTGACTCATGAAGAACCACTTCGTTTACAAGGGTGACAACCTCTTGGTTAGCTCCACTGAACATCTCTAATAAAGGGACCACACCCATTTATGGCATATAGAGCATTCCAACATGGTTTACTAGGATCTCCCAGTCCAGAAGGCGATTTCCGAAATCTCGCTCAGGACTTCGGGAGAGGATCTTCAAGGGATCTCAATTTTTCAATTTTTGGATGTTGATGCCCATTGTTGGGGATTGAGATCCCAAAAGGTTAGGAGTGATCTCAACGTTTTGAAGATTACAATATTTAATTTGTACAAAAAATAAACACTAAAATCTTGATTTTTTTTTTTTTGAGAAAGTTAACATTGTATTACTGAGAAGTGATAATTACATAGATATAAGAGTCCAAGAGCACCCACATGGAGTGTCTCTCAGTAAAAAATGCGTCAACCTGCCATGTAACAAAAATGGGTCTATAGGATCTGCCCAATTACAACGATTTACGTGAAGATTTCAAAAAATAAACCAGGGCTGGAAGATGCCCAAATACAAACTGTCTATGTTGTGTGCATGTGGTCCAGAACAAAAAAGGAGTCGGACCGAGCGTGCTCCTCTACTTGGATTCTAGCTCCCTCTTTCGTCATGAGATCTGCGAACTCATTGGACGTCCTCCAAATATGCTTCCAAGAGACGTCCATATCCCTGCAAATGTGAGCAATTTCATCAAAAATTGAGGTTAGGTGCCACGGTTGAGAAGTCATCCCACTTGCCCAAGAGAGAATATTTTCTAAATCACCTTCCACTATCAGGTGTGAGCCCCAAGAATGGTTGAAGCTTTTCAGACCATGTAATAGAGCCATGGCCTCTGCGTAGTGGGAGTCCTTGAGGCCAAGATGCTCAAAATAGGTTAAGAGGATGTTACAATGATGGTCTCTAAAGACACCCCCAGCACCTTCCGAACCAGGATTCCCAAGGGAACAACCATCAAAATTCAGCTTGATGCTGCATTCTGTTGGTGGTAGCCAGTTGTTAGGTCTTGAAGCCTGTCACGGTTGGTGGTAAAGAATATTTTTCCATTGCTCGAGGAAAATGTTCCCTAATATGCCCGAGAATACCTTATGATTAGAGGCCCAAAAGGTGACCAAACAAGTTACCTTGTGGAAGAGTGTTGATATGTGGAGTTTTAAGTCCTTGAAAAATTATGGTATTTCGTTCCACCCAAATTATCCATATGGTAGCAGCTATGGTAGCCTTCCATAAGGTTCTTCTAGCCGTCGGCCAATGTAACTCACAATCGTATTAAATCAAGGCCTTGACCGTAAGGGGTGTGACCCATTGGATACCAAAGAGTTGCAACAATTGGCTCCAAGTTCGTGGGTAAAGTTGCATAGAATAAAAAGGTGGGGGGATTCCTCCTCACATTGGCACAAAGCACATCTATTGGGAATCGAGATCCCTCTCTTTTGGAGATGGTCCACTGTGAGTGCCCTTTGGGTTTTTAAGATCACACTGCTTTATTCTACTTGTTAGTGGAGATTGTACAATTAAACAGTGTAATTTAATTATTGCGCAATCCCAAAAGGTTGGAATCAGGATCCTCAAATGCTTGGGATCAAGATCCCCAAAAGCTTTGGTTAGAGATCCGTAGAATATGTATCGTATGGGAGGCGCTCCTTACCATAGGGATCTTCGAGCCTTTCGCAATCCCCACTTCCTATCCCTAAATTGCATCCAATCTCTCCCCATTCCAAATGGTTTCCAAAAGAGCTTCACATGGGTGAAAGACTAGGGCTAGAGATCACATGTTGCCGCAAGGCAATTTAGGAGACAAGAGCTTAAAAGAGAGACATTTCACATTGGGTCAGTGGATTCCGAATAGTTTCGTGAATACCCCATCTTGTAAGTGAAAACCAATAAAAGAGGGCCCACTAATGATGTAGGAGAACTTGAAGAAACATGGAAAAATCAGCAAGAAGCACATAATTTTGGAGAAACCCTAAGGTTTTCTCCCACTTAGGGCTCAAGCCCTAGGCTTCTTTTACAAGACAAAGTTTTTCTTTTCTTAAAGAGGAATACATGAATGACCCTCCAGCCCACCAATGCCCTTATTTATATTGAAAAATAATTGTTTTGGACAATATTTGTTCATACAATTTAACTTTTGAACAAAAAGTCTTAACTTAAATATAACTTGAAACTAAACTCCCTAACTTTAATTAAAACATCTAACAAGTCCCAAACTGGTCCAGCAATGAAATAAATAAATCTAAATAGCCCTAAAAACTAAAAAAACACCAAAACTATTTTTGCTCTTCTTGTTCTTCTTAGAAGCCCCTCCTAGGGTTTCATCCTCCAAATATGATCGAAAATTAGGAGGAATTTGTTGCTCCCATAGAAGATACTCGTGGCTACATGTGCTCTGATCTCCATCAACTAAGAAGAAAAATAACAAGAAACGAAAGAAACATCCACATGTTTCAGATAATGCAATAGAAAAATGAATTTGATAGATGGTAGACGTTCCAATTAAGATTCATGCACACTACAAGCACAAGCCACAGCCACATAAAAACTATTTCAGACTTAAAATAAATATTTGAGCAGCTTGCAACCCTCTACAACCACAGTTTGACGTGTTGCAAACATAAAAGGTCAATTTAAAAAGAATACGCCCATAGAAAGAAGTGCTCTAAAATAATCATAAGCAACGGCAAATAAAAAACTTTGATTTAATACAAAGCATCAAATTTCATCATCGGCCATACCTTATCAGTATTTAACCATTTTACGTATTCAACTAATCCACCTGCGTAACAATACTCATTGTATTGTGCCTTCTGGGAATCCATATCCATCTTCGTTAGGGTAATTGCTAGCTGCAACACGGACAAAAAAAATTGTTAGCTGCTATAGAATATCACAATTTGCAACTTTTTTTATTATAAAATCAATTTACTACTAAACACCACTAGAAATAAATGAGAGGAACAAGCCAATACAAATAAATTATTGCAGCATTGCCATGAATGAATAATATCTAGCAGCTCATATCATAGTTGTTGGAAATTCCTGAGATTCCAAATCGTTTTAGGAATAAAAAATGTAGAATCCCAGCTCGTTAAAAGAATCATGTTTTCAAAATCGACATCCACACAAGGGGAATTGCGGGAAATGAGATTCTTCCTTTAAATGAATCGAGATTCGATCTAAATGGAATCGCCTACATATGTGGAACTGAGCTTCCAACCTCTTTGGAATTTAGTTCTTAACCTATTTGGAATCAACCCATATGGAATCGAGATTCCTTCATATATGGAATTGAGATTCCGACACATTGGAATCGAGTTTATGACGTATTTGGAATCGCGATTCACATTAGTCTGCAATCGGGTTTCGACCCAATTAGCAATAGGGATTTTTAACTCTATGTCGTCGAGTTTCAATCCCTTTGGAATCAAGATTCTTACATCAATGGCATCTTGCGCCTTGACAACTGAGAACCTCATCAAGCAGCCAAGATTAGAGGTCTCTAAGACTTGAAGAAAGGTTCCTTAGATTTGAAATCAATGTCTGGATTATCAAGCCTCAAACACAGCCTCAGACACAGTATCAGAAGTAAGGTCAATTCATAGACACTCGTAGTACACATAGGGAAATTGCTTACAAAAGATACAAATATTATGTTATATATTTTTAAAATGTGATTTTGATTTCATTATTATAGTTTAAATAGGATCCTCATTTCATTATTATAGTTCAAATGTGTTTATTTTTGTGTTTATTATCCCATTTCCCAATTCAAACTCAAATTTCCCTCCAATTTGAATTCAAATTTTCACTAATATATCATTTAACCAAAATTTAAATTTCAAAATGACTAGGTTTCCCTTGTTGATTTTAGTTTAAATAGGACAGAGGGTGAGTCCCCATTAGGGACATGCCCCTTAGATCAATACTTTCCCTCTCTTTTCACATGAAAGGAGAGATGTATAGAGATTATATGTCTCTCTTAATAAACTAACTTGCACATGGGCTTCCACATTGGGTGAATGAGAATGCGATAAGTGTCTATCAATGAGGTGCAATAATCTTGTGCCATGTGTCCCTTCATGGATCCATTTACACTTGGCCCTAGGGTTTGAAGTCATATTTCAAATCCTGTACAGTTTCTAGAAGCCTTTACACACACTACACATATCACACTCATCTACACAACCAAAGAGCCCTTTAAGGATGACCTCATGGTGATAACATCATGCTAATGATGTCATGCTGGTCTCATCAACATGTGGGTGAGTTGGGGCCCACGCATAGTCCCCACTTGAAGCCATGTGAAGCCCATTAGCCACTTGGGCCTCACATGTGCTTTGGCCCACCAACCTATCCCCAAACAAAAGTTTCTATAACAATTTATCCAAACCTATTCACTATCCAAAAGAAGATATAATTCCAAACAAACACCAAAAATCATCTTTCTTATTTTAAGATTTTGAATTGCTTAGGGCTATCAGAAGCCCTAATAAGCCACCTACCCACACAGGATATCCTCTTTTCCAACTTTGTCAAGATATTCTCTTTCACGATATCGACCACGACCAAAATCCTGCACTGGGATTAGCCTCTAATGTTGATCCAGCAAGGCTAAAACAAACCTTGACTCAAGGATTACCCTCAACCCTTGTGGTACCCTGCTAGCCCATGAACCAAGACCACGGTCAAGGTTTTGTGACTCAAAGACACAACTTACGAGCCCCAGACCGACTAGGCCTGGTGAGCTACATGGGTTCCCCATACTGTCCTAAGCGCCCACTCGAAAGGCGACACAAATCCAACACAGATGACTACAAGCCTACATCAACAAATAAGGCTACAACCTTACCAAAATTGCGCCCCACACACACACACACTCACACTCACACTCAAACTCAAATATATATACATAAGGATTTTTACAATAAGGTATATTGAAGTGTTCTATTATACATAAATATACATCTATTATGTATTATGTAACGATTGATCCATACCAATACGTGGAGAGAGAAAGAGATGAATACGCAGAGATGACCAAGTGCATGGAAAGCTATAGAGAATAAGGAGAGGAGAGAGAGTATAGAGAGAGAGGGAGTGAAGCAGAGGGAGAGTGAAGCAGAGAGAGGGCGATATGGGCCTAGTTAGAGCGAGAGAGAGGGTCTGTTAGACCTATCTTCTCTCTCCAGTTTGAAACCGATGAACATGAGAGATTTTAGGCGGCAAGCATTGGAACCATTTGAAGGCTATTTTTGCGGCTAATTTGATGTAAAAGATGATTAATGTTGAGTTCTTGTTGTATCAATCTATGAGAGAAAAATAACTGCTATTTCAGCTTGAGCAGTAGCAGAAATTGTTCACTAAAGCGATGGCCTCCTCTTTGTTTATCAAGGGGAATAAGCCAACTGCTTGGCTTCTTAATACTGAATCATAGACCACCAATAAAGATCCAAAAGAGCTTTTTTTTTTTTTTAATGAAGTTGGCTGCTGTATTAAGTACAAAGGGAAGATTACAGTATTCCATCGAGAGGGCCCACGCCTCTCTGCAAAAAATAGGCTATCAAACAAGGGGAACCCTGTACAAAAAATGGGTGGGGCTTATTAGTTTTGCCCAATTACAAAGGATGTACAAAAGTAAGTAAATTGCGTAAGTAGTGGTCCAAAGCAAAAAATGGGACCAAGACCCAAAGAAGTGCCAAGCAAAAACTAGAACCTTTTATGGATCTGCACCTTAAACCCTTGCACCCTCCTTAGCCAGTTGGTCTGACAAGGCGTTTGACATCCTCTAGATATGCTTCCATGAGACAGCTATATCCTTGCAATGTGCATACTTTCATCATAAATCGGGGCAAGGTACCAGAAAGGAGGAGCATTTCCAGCAGCGCAAGAGATAATGTTTTTGGCATCTCCCTCAACAATCAGTCGTAATCCCCATGTGGGATCGAATATTTTGAGGCCCAGGAGGAAAGCCGTAGACTCAACGAACTGAGAGTCTGCAAGGCCAATATACTTGGAAAAAGAGGCACGAATGTTGCCATGGTGATCTCTAACCTGCTCCTACTGGTGCTGGGTTTCCTAGGGAACATCCATGGAAATTAAGTTTGGTGAGGCCAGCCAAAGGAGGAGACCAGCTGTTGGCTTGTGAGACCCGAGGAGAGTGGAAGTGGAGAACTTCTTCCCAATATTGTAGGAAAGATGCCCAGCCGAAATGCCAGTGAAGGCCTTGTGGTTGAATGCCAAGAAGATGATCTAAGAGGTGGTCTTGTGGAATAGGGCCGAAGCTTCAAACTTGACACCATGAAAAATCCTTGAATTTCTTTCGATCCCAATGACCCAAAACGTAGCTGCTATGGAAGCCTTCCATAAGTGCCTGCCCGCCTTCGGCCATGGGGAATCCAAGGAGGAATCAAGAAGGGCCGGTAGGGAGGCAGGAGTAACCCAGGTGAGGTCGAAAAGCCGAAGGATTTGACTCCAAAGGTTGAGGGCAAGGTTACAATGGATAAAGAGATGAGAGTTGGAATCTTCCTCACAGAGGCATATAGCACAACGATTGGAAATGGGCATACCCCTCCTTTGTAGTTGGTCTACAGTAAGGGCTTTTTTTGAGCACGCTATCCAATTAAAGCTTGTACTTTAGGTGGTGCTATTGAGGACCATACCTTAGATACAACCATGTCGGTGCATGGGGGAAGGTGGGAGGTTGCTAGAGTTTTTTGTAGAAGGAAGCTATCGAGAAGGAGCCCGATGGGGAGGGGGTCCACACCCAGCTGTCCAAGCCAGAGAGGGCGAGGAAAGTAGAATGTAAAATGGCTGACAGGGCAGTAAAGTTCACGGTTTCAGCCTCGGAAAGGGGGCGTCTGAATGAAGGACTCCAGACTCTACGATTTCTGGAGATAGACATATGTCAGCCATAGTGGAGAATTTGTTGGTGGCAAGAGAAAAGAGTGAAGGGAATAGGAATCTTAACAGCATGTGGCCCACCCAAATATCTAACCAGAAACGAATTCTTGCGCCGCCCCTAGGGTGAAAACGTATGTTTTGCTGGAAGAGTGAGAGAGAGGACAGGAAGGACTTTCAAGCTCTTGAGGCCTTGCTTAATGATCTCCCTTCAGGGAGCCAGGACTCAATCGGGATTTTGTATTTGCAGCGGATGCCCTGGGACCAGAGCGAGTTGTTCTGGAATGCGAGTCGCCACCACCACTTCCCAAGTAGAGTTGTGTTCTGTGTCCTCAAAATCAGAATCGCAAGTCCCCCAAGATGCTTCAGTGGGCAGACTTTGTCCCAGGAAATGAGGTGGAATTTTTTGGATTTGGCTTCCCCTGACCAAAGAAAGTTCCTCATTAACTGATCAAGACACCTTGCTACCGACATGGGCATGTGGAATAGGGACATAAGGTAGACTGAGGAATTAGCCAGGGTTGCTTTGATGAGTGTGGTCCTTCCTACGAAGGACAAGAATCTACCTTTCCACCCTACTTGGCATCAGTGTACTTTGTCAATAATGTGAGCCCACTTACTCTTTTTAGGTTTAGGCTCAGACGTAGACCATGGTTGCTTGTAGGGGAGATCCTCCACTTTGCACTCCCAGTCTGGAATAAGACCTCTAGTCTCAGAGGTAGTGAGGGCGACCCCAATCATCTTGGATTTCTCTATGTTCACTTTGAGGCCCGTGGCATACTCGAAGCACTTGAGAAAGAGGCGTAGGTTCTCTATTTCCTCTGGGTCAACATCTATAAAGACGAGTGTGTCATTGGCATACTGAAGGTGGGAGACGATGGGGCCTCGAGAACTACTATGGAAACCGGAGAGAATATCCGACTGGTATAAACAAGATATAGATTGGTTG